TAAGTCTCATGGGGAGCCCGTCACTAAACCACCGCCCAGGACAATCACTGAGGCATGAAGATCTAGAAATGTGTTTCTCTGTGAGGTGAGGGCTTGACAACATGCAGCACAGCAAACCGCTGTTCCCAATACCAGAATAACTGCAGTCAGGGTGTAGGTCCTTGAACACTCCAGGGTGAGCCCCCAACTGCCGTCAGAAAGATGGTTCATGGAAACAAACAACATCGAGCACCTACGAAACAGAATCACGTATTGCAGGAAATAGAGAATAATCATTTGACAATGAATGAAAACACATTCTTCATAGAAAAGTAGTTAAATGTGGATGGAAAAAATCTGATCTCAGTGTGGAAATATCAAGCTGCATAAAATTTGTTGAGAATTCATCAACATCAGCATAGTCTTTGACCACCTGTTTGGCACAAGTTGAAATCAAAGTCTCATCTCTGCTTATTAAGGTGAATCTGCTTTCTAACAGGACACAGGTGATGAATATCAGATATTTGTGAGAGGCTTATTATGCTAAAAAATTGTCATTTGACAAAATATTTACTGAAAGACAATTTTTTGAAAAGATACATCAGATTTAATTTCTATTTCATAGGAAATTAAATCAGAAAACACTTGTTGAAGAATAACAGGTGAAAATTATGATTGTTGGTCAATGACATGATAAAATACCTTGAACATTAATTAGGGTTTTAATCATAAGGAATATCCAAGATGCTAAAATATGTCAAAACTGGGTGCAGACACCTGTTCTAACACTCACTCTAAAGTATAGTCATGAAGTCGGCATGGTGTTGAAGAAATAATAGACCAATCAGTGGCTAATAAAACAGAAAACCCAAAATAGACTCTGCATGAATAGCAGAACCAACTGATCTTGACAAAGGAAAAAAGGAAATAAAATGGAGCAAAGATGATTTCTCAGCAAATGTTGCTGCAAAAATTGGAAATCAAATCACAAAAAGAAGGAACAGAAGGAATGGAAAAGAAGGGAGGGGGGAGAGACAGAGGATGGAAAGAGAAACCTAGAGCCAGGCGTTATAGCAGAGAAGCAAATTAGCTCAAGTCGATGGAAGACCTAATTACACGACAATCCACATAAGCAGCACGAGATTCGGCTTCATTTTTGGGGTGATATGGCCCCAATGCACATAGTAATGGGAAAGACACATTTATTTAAGTTGAAGTAACTTTTAATAGTAATAAAAATAACAAGTTTAACTCTGTTGACAGGATGGATAACCCCTTAGCCCTCACATGCTCTGACAGTCCCAGGGAGGGGGCTGGTGATCGCATCTCCCCCATCATGGTCACTATTGACTCCTGCTCGCAGCTCTGAAACCCACCAGCTCCTTGGGCCTCAGCCCCAACAGGGGTCTGAAATTTCTCCCCAACACTCTGTCCCTGCTGGCCCCTCCCTGGTCCCAGCAGGTGACTCCAGCACAACTGTGTCCTGGAAGACCCTGGCGTGAGGTGGACTCTGCGGGAGTCGGCGATCCTGGAACAGCTGGGGGAGAGCACTGGTGGGGAGCCGGGAGGGGTAGACGGACTGTGACCACCCACCAGCTCCACCCCAGTGCCCCACAGCCACCCCGGTCTCCTCAGGACACCCCGCCCTTCCAGGGTTCCATCTCAGCACATCCCTGCTCCTGTGTCTCAAACACCCAGTTGCGGCAGTCGTGGAAATGACACTGACAGTTTGCTCAGAATGGAAACAGTTGGTCTGATCTATGTAAGGGAAGGGTTCTTTACGTCTGAGATGCTAAAATATGTGGGTCCCCTGTACACAGTGCAGACAACATATGTCTAGTATATGAGGGGAAAGTATTTTTTAAGAATGTGAAGAATTTTCTGGGGAGACAGCTTCTCCACGCAGAATAGCAGTGTGGAATGAGAGGACCTGAGGAATACACACACCGTACCCAACTGTCAGTAAAACCCTAGTCTTCAGAGAAGTGGTGGCAGCACCCTGGGGTCAGAAGCTGCTACCGCCCATTGTGTGAGGGTGACTGTCCCTGCACCCACGTCACTGAATCTAAATCAGTGTCTGTGTCTTTATGGATCCTGAAGAAATAAGGCAAATTGAGGACCCTCAGCAAAGGTCACTGTTGAGCAGAGGCAAGGGGTGTCAGGACGATCATTGCTGATAAACTCCTCACTTTAACCACCCAGTCATGCACTAAGGGAGATGTACATGGATTGTGAGAAATGGGATGAAAAGCTTTATTTTATTCAGGCCTCAACAAGGCAACCCCTGTGTTCTGGGTTGTGATGTGCGGGCGGCTGCTCAAGTGCAGAGAACATGAGGCCTCTGGCCTCTGCAGCTGCAGGCCAGGGTGCCCACCCCTGCTTTGCATGCCCCAGCCCCCTGCTGCCCAGGGCCTATATCAGGCTGGGCAGGCTCTGGGCAAGAGCTGCCTCAGCCAGGACACAGGCACCATGGAAGCCCCAGTGCAGCTTCTCTGTCTTCTGCTGCTCTGGCTGCCACGTAAGTGCTGCCCTCAGAGGACACGTTGGGTGGTGGATTCCTGGGCCCTGGCTCTTGCTCAGTGAGACATTAATGGGAGCTCAGTGGTGATCAGCCTTCCTGGCTGATCTGGGGTGACAGTGGTGAGGACAGAGATTGCAAGGGTGTCTTACGTGTTTAATTTCCAATTTCAGGTTCCACTGGAGAAACTGTCCTGACACAGTCTCCAGTCTCCCTATCATTGTCTCCAGGAGAAAAGGCCACAATCTCCTGCAGGGCCAGTCAGAATGTTAACAGCTGGTTAGCCTGGTACCAGCAGAAACCTGGGCAGGCTCCCAGGCTCCTCATCTATGAGGCATCCAAGAGGCCCGATGGCATCCCAGCCCGCTTCAGTGGCAGCGGGTCTGGGACAGACTTCACGCTCACCATCAGCAGCCTGGAGCCTGAGGATGCCACCACTTACTACTGTCAGCATTATATGGGTTACACTTCCACAGTGACACAGGCCTGAACAAAAACCACCCAGGGAGCAGATGTCTGAGGCCTAACAGCCCAGCTGCTCCTCCATGGCCCCATCTGCTTATAGCTGTCTCAGAAACAACTATGCTTTGAGGTTTCTGCAAATTTTTTATATGAATATTGACAAAATAACTCATTTTAAGGTCCTACATCTTCCCTGGGAATGGTATAGTTGTCGCAGCTTCCTAAAAATAGGAAATGACTCACAGGCAAGATTCTCCAGATGCTCCATCAAGTATCTGCAAGTTGTGTATTCCAGATCGGCCACTAGAGACAGCAAATGCCACAGTAGAATGAGACTCAGGCTTAGGCTAGGAATGCTGGGAAAGGCCAGGGGGGCTGTCCAGGCATCACAGGGGGCCCTCAGGTTGCAAGGGTTTTTTGAGATGGGACCATGTGGGTGCTCGTGTGCTGTGTGAGAGGAAGGCTGAGCCCTACCCGCAGCCAGGAAGAGTCCGGGAGGCTTCTGAGGCTACCTGAGGCTCCAGCATTTCTTCCCATTGCTCTAGTCCTTGCCTTTACTTCCTGCCTCACCGAGTAGGTGGCTCCGAGGAGAGCTGTGAGCTGAAATATACTGTGAATAAAATACGCTTCTCTGCAGGTGTCTGAGATACGGGAGCATCACAGGCACAGCTCTCGGTGGGGTGTGAGCACCTGGAAGGGCAAGACCAATTTTGAAGCACCCAAGCTGGGGTCTCCTACTCCTGGATGGCTTATCCAGCCTCCATGCTGAGAGCGCAACACTGTGAGACACCTTTCACACCAATTAAGAACATAAAGCTGGATCACCCTGGGAATGGTGTGCATCACAGGGTTTGACCGGGAATGTCCGGGGGCTGAGGACGAATGCATAACATTACTCCTGAATTATACATCATGACATGTGACCAAGAAATTACTGATGTATAATGGACTCCAGAAGCTGGTCAGGGGCATGCCTTATTCATAAGGCTGAAACCCTGACTGGGGACTCAGGGCTGTCCCACATACCACACCATCAGCAGATGCACAGCTCCACCTTTCCCCCAGCTTCTGCTTCTCCCTCTCTGTCTGCTTCCCCATATGACTAACGCTGCATGACTGTTTATCCAGCAAGAGGCCAGGATCTCGCCGTTCAGCAGCATCCTGCATCACGTAGCTGCTCCACGACTCCCGTTCCTGTGTCAGCGGCGTGTTGCCCGATGCAACCCCAACCCTGCTCTCCAGGAACACCCCTGTCTCCAGGGAAATGGTGTCAGCCAGTGCAGGGGGCTCAGCGTCTGGTCCTGCTCTTCTGTGCCATGTGCCTGTCCCTGCACCCATTCGCGGGACCTGAGTGTTTGCGTCTTCTTTTTCTTTTAAGATTTTACTTATTCATACAAAACTGGGGTACAGGAGATTGCAGGGGTGGTGAGGGGATTCACGAGAAACAGAGTGGGGAGCAGAACAGACAGATCCACAAAGTGGGGAGCATCAGGCAATACAGGAGAGATCTGCTGGCCATGTGGGTCACCTCCGGGGCGGGGATCCAACTCCAGCTGAAGCGGCCACGGCTTGTCTTGGCTTTGCAGTGCAGCGCTCCAACCCGCTGTGTGGCGAGGGAGGGCCCAGTGTTTGTGTCTTTATGATCACAAAAAAAATGAGGTAAATCTCAGGTTCTCAGGGAAGGTCACACAAGAGTAAAAGGAGGGGGTGTCAGGAAGATCATTGCTGATTACCTCCTCAAATCACCCCACCCAGTCATGCACCAAGGGGGATGGGCAGTCATATTGGGGGACAAAGTGAGACTGGACAAAAGGCTTTGCTTTTCATCAGGACTGGGCCAGACACCCCCTGTGTGACTGGGATATGATGTGCGGGTGGTTGTTCAAGGGCAAAGAAGGGAGCGGGGGGCCTCTAGACTACACAGGTGGTGAACAAGTGTGCCCACCCCTGCTTTGCATGCCCCCAGCCCCCTGCTGCCCAGGGCCCATATCAGGCTGGGCAGGCTCTGAGCAAGAGCTGCCTCAGCCAGGACACAGGCACCATGGAAGCCCCAGCGCAGCTTCTCTGCCTCCTGCTGCTCTGGCTCCCAGGTGAGGGGACCCGGAGGGTGATGCCCTCAGAGGACACTTTGGGGGGTAGATACCCGGGACCTGGCTCTTTGATCAGTGAGACAATAATGGGAGCTCAGGGATGATCAGCCTTCCTGGCTGTGTGGGCAGAAAATAAAGATAGTGACAAAAAGGCTGACTTGTGTGTTCTGTTTCCTATTCAGGCTCCTCTGGAGAAATTTCCTGACACAGTCTCCTGCCTCCCTGTCACTTTCTCCCGGACAAAAGGCCACAGTCTCCTGCAGGGCCAGTCAGAGTCTTCGCAACAACTGGTTACACTGGTACCAGCAGAAACCTGGGCAGGCTCCCAGGCTCCTCATCAAATATGCAAACAACAGGCTCGAGGGCATCCCAGCCCGCTTCAGTGGCAGCGGGTCCGGGACAGACTTCACACTCACCATCATCAGCCTGGAGCCTGAGGATGCCGCCACTTACTACTGTTACCAGAGTAATAGTTACCCTCCCACAGTGACACAGGCCTGAACAAAAACCACCCCGGTGCCTGGTGGGAGCCCAGGCCTCCCCAGCTGCTCCCTCTGGTGCCCCATTGCTGGGAGCCTGTCTCAGAAGCTGCAGTGCTTTCAATCTGAAAGTAAAGCTATGGAATAAGGGACTTGGAGGCTCCTGAAAACCCCAATTATTCCACCGAACTCCACTCCTGCCCCAGGCCCTAGTAACACGCAAGTAGATCTTCTGCTGATTTAGTAAACACAGAGATGCTTACTTCGGGGAACTGGACTTATGCTCTCAGGGGGTCCCACAGCAGGGATAAGCCTCCTAGAGAGTCAAAGTAAGTTCTTATTTTTAATACATGGAGTTTGAGTCTAACCTTTATACCTTCAAAATTTAAGGAATCTGTGACCAATCGAAGCATATGGTCCAAATGGGTGATTCTCATAGCTCCCCCAGAAGTCAGAACACCTCTGTTCCTGAGGTACAGGCTGCCTTACTGGGTGCCTCCGACCTCTCTGGTGTGTCCAGGACCCAGTCTGAGGGTGCTGCTGATCTCAGCACCTGGAGCTGCCACCAGGGACGCTCCACTGTCACTGCTGTCCTAAGTCTGCCTCCAGGAGCCCAGAGGACACAGTGAACCACTCCACGGGACAGTCACAGATGCACAAAGTGTGGAAATGTGTTTCTAGAGTGATCGTGAAGGCCTAAGAGCAGACAGCCCAGTAGAGTCACAGTTTCCATTCCTCAGAATATTTCCAGTGGGACTAGCTTCCAGAACACTCATGGATGCTCCCAATTGCCTAGAATAAACAGAAAACTAGGGTTTGTATGGAATATACTATCATTCATAGGACAACGAGTAGACAACACTCATTTCCCTCTAGATGCATTAGTGAAATTATTTTACTTCAATGTGCTGCTCAAAATTTGTCCACAGTTCATCAACTTCATCATTATTGGTGACAAACTGCAATGTGAACACCTAGCCCCCCTTTGATCTACTAAATAAGAATCTGCTTTCTAAAAGATGGCAGGTGATCAATAAGAGGTGAGCTGTGTTCATGGGGATAATTACTTTAGCTAAAGATTGTCAGTGGAGTCATTTAAAAAAACTTTTACTGAATGCTAATTGTTGGAAAGATATTGTTATATTTACTTTTGAATGAATACAACATTGAATCAGACAACAGTTATTTAACATAATGTAAGGTGAAAAATACCATTGTTTGTTACCACATAGTATGACCTTGACCATTAAAAGGAGTTTTGACACATGATGAATCACCAAGATGAAGGAATGTCACACCTGGGTAAAATGACCTGATTTCAAAATTTACTATGAAGCTACAAAATCAAGGCAGCGTGGTTTAGGAGGAATAATAGGCCAATCTATGGATCAGAAAAGAGAAGCCCAATATAGAATCAGTGAGGGCCCTCCCTGGCGGCCCAACACGTTAGGACACAGCCCTTTAGCTAGCTGCAGCCTCCTCAGTGTGAGTTCGATCCCCGCCTGCCCCGAGGTGACCCACATAGTGCAGCAGACCTCTCCTGATGCTCCCGCTGCTACCCTCAGCAGTGTGCTTCCTCAGTCGGCCTGTTCTGTTCCCTGCCCTGTGTCTGGTGAATCCTCTCCCCACCCCTGCTCCTCTGGCCTGTACTCCAGTTCTCTGTGCATAAATAAGTAAATCTTTAAAAAAAATAATAATCAGTCACAAGTGTAATTAGATTCAAATGGCAAGCAGGACAGCATACAAGATGGTAGGCCCAAGCCTTTCTAGGGATTCTGATAAAGGACCAGGAGGAAATGCTGGGTACATTGGCAGGTCCTCAGGGTACGTCTGGAGCTGAGCTCAGTTCCCCCACTTAGGCTTCAGGGCCTTGGGACCCTGAGAGTGAAATAGCCCCAGACCCTGCATGTGGATGAAACACCCACAGATCATACAGAATCATGGAGCTACGATTATTTCCACATTATGGAAACTGAAGAAGGAGACTGATGAGATAGGATTGACTTCACAGAAGCCAGTAACTGGGGAGCACACAGGTGATTAGGTTTGTGGACCTGTTGGTTCAACTGAGTGATGATGGCTGTGGAGGAAATTCTAACCCTGACTGTGTGTGCAGAGGGGACTTGGAATCGGGAATGGCACTGGCAGAGGTTTCATAGCCAAGGAGATGGTGGAGATGAGCACAAGATTTTAACTTGCTTTAGGGAAGCAGCTGCTTTACAGGGATGAGAATTGGAGCCACAGACTCTATTTGTACCTGGGATGTAACGTGCGGGCAGCTGCTCAAGCGCAGAGAACATGAGGCCTCTGGTCTCTGCAGCTGGAGGCCAGGGTGCCCACCCCTGCTTTGCATGCCCCCAGCCCCCTGCTGCCCAGGGCTCATATCAGGCTGGGCAGGCTCTGGGCAAGAGCTGCCTCAGCCAGGACACAGGGCACCATGGAAGCCCCAGCGCAGCTTCTCTGCCTCCTGCTGCTCTGGCTCCCAGGTGAGGGACCCGGGAGGCTGCTGCCCTCAGAGGACACTTTGGGGGGTGGATTCCTGGGACCTGGCTCTTTGCTCAGTGACACAATAATGGGAGCTCAGTGCTGATCAGTCTGCCTGGCTGTGCTGGGAGAAAGTGATGATAGAGATTATTACATGGGTGATTTATGTATTTTGTTTCCTATTTAGGTTCCTCTGGAGAGATTGTAATGACACAGTCTCCAGCCTCTCTGTCATTTTCTCCAGGAGAAAAGGTCACGATCTCCTGCAGGGCCAGTGAGAGTGTTAGCAACTACATGGCCTGGTACCAGCAGAAACCTGGGCAGGCTCCCAGGCTCCTCATCTATCGTGCATCCAGCAGGCCCAATGGCATCCCAGCCCGCTTCAGTGGCAGCGGGTCTGGGTCAGACTTCACGCTCACCATCAGCAGCCTGGAGCCTGAGGATGCCGCCACTTACTACTGTCAGCAGGGTTATAGTCACCCTCCCACAGTGACACAGGCCTGAACAAAAACCACCCAGGGAGCAGCTGTCTGAGGCCCTGCAGCCCAACTGGTCGTCGGGGCCCCATCTGCTTATAGCTGTCTCAGAAACAACAATGCACTTAGGTTTCTGAAAATTTTTTTTTACCAGAGGCTAGAGGCACTTGAAACCCTGAGTCCCCTCCTGACTCCAGCAACACTCATAGGCAGAGCCAGTGCTGATTTAACACCCAGAGATATTACACCTGGCACCAGGCTAATGGATCTGTCAGGCTCGTACAGCAGGGGAGAAGCCACTGTAGAGAATCTCAGCAGGATTTTTACTTGCACTATGTGCAATTGGTGTCTAAGCTACAATATTCCAAAATCTCACTAGTGTGGGATTAGGTGAAGCATATGGTAGAAAAGGGGGGTCTTGTTGTCACCCCAGGAGTCAGAGCACTTCTGTTGCTGAGATACAGGCTGACAAGTTAGTGGATTAGAAAAATGAAGCCAAACTACAGCCCAACAAATGTCAGAGTGAACGGCTCTTTGATATCAAAGGACAGAAGAGAAGCATGGAGAAAAGGAGATCTCTCAGTTAATGGTCCTGGGAAAGCTGGACATCCATCTGCAAAAAAATTAAAGGAAGGAAAAAGGAAAAGAAAAATCAAGAATTGTCATTGCTCCAAAATGAAACACGAAATAGTAATTATACTCTCATTTATTCAATTATTCTAGAATATGTTACTAAAAATTTTATTCATTGCACATACTAATACTTGATCCATGAATTCACACATTTTACACTTTTGCAAATATTCTAAAATAAAGATTATACTTCTTACAGTGACATTGGAAATGACTTACAGAAAATTTTGAAAACAATATAGTGAACAGGGCCAATTGCATGGTGATGATTCTCCTGTATTCTAAGTTATGACTTAGATGTAAAAAGCTGAAGAAGAATTATACAAGAAGGAAAACAATGTGACACGCGAGTGATGAAGCCTTTCCCAGGAAAGCATTGATTATGGGCCCGGGGAAAATGCGGGTTGAAGTCTGCAGGTCCTGGGGGGCTGAGCTCAGGTCACTCAGTGAGACTTGGGACTTGTGACCCAGTTAGCGGAGGCAGCACGAGGCCCTGCCTGCGGCAGAAACACATCTGTACCCCAGACTGTACAGAGTCACGGCGCTACGATTATTTCCAGAAAAAGTGAAGGTGAGACAAAGGGCATGGTGAGATGTCACATAGGCAGCAGTGGTCTCCCCATCATCGACTGAAGGACCTGCATGGTCCCCAGCCGCGATGGCCGGGGGAGGCTCTCACCCCTGAATGCGTGTGGAGGGCTGACTGGCCATGGCAGTGTGTTAGCAAGTTGGTCT